CGTATGTCCCTTTCTCTCCGTAATAGCACATTTAATGTTCTCATAATGCACCTTATCTTCTCCAGTTCTTGTTCTACAATTACAAATATGCGATGCCCGAATTTTGAATTTTCTTGTTATAATTTTTAGAGCAGAATAGATGTGCAATCTCGGTTGCTTAGGCATGTACTAGTTAGCTTACCCGGCTCCGCCCGGCCTTGTGAACACTATGATAAAGCTCTCATCCCTACCCCCGTACAAATTTTCCCTGTGCCCACGTCTACATGCTAATTTCCCTATTCCCGCTGTTCAGCATGCTCACTTACCCGCTGTACCAAATCCCAGCCTCGTAGCTCAAACTTTGCAATAAAATCGATAAAATCGACTGAAAGTAACGGATAATTCTAAAAACTTATATTGTTCTCGTAATCAACATGCTCGATTTCCTTCTTGTGCACACTCTCAGCCCCATAAGTCAAACTTTGCAAAAAAAATCGATGAAAATCGATAGAATTAGTATCGATCGATGACGAAAAGTAGCCTATGACACCTGCCCCGCCCAAATTTATGTGTGCCAAGTTTGGTCCGGATCGGTTCAAAAATAAAGTTTTCTATTCGGAACACACACACACACACACACACACACACACACACACACACACACACACACACACACACACACACACACACACACACACACACACACACACACACACACACACACACACACACACACACACACACACACACACACACACACACACACACACACACACACACACACACACACACACACACACACACACACACACACACACACACACACACACACACACACACACACACACACACACACACACACACACACACACACACACACACACACACACACACACACACACACACACACACACACACACACACACACACACACACACACACACACACACACACACACACACACACACACACACACACACACACAGAGCTATAATCGTTCGCATGTTGGCAGACGAAAGCTCGCGAAGCAATCCTTGTCAAAATATGCTACCCAGTTTTCTTACAGGACTGGAAGCATGATCTTGCTGTTACAAAGTAGCGTATATGCCTATCAGTGACTGAAATAATGGTCTCAAAATTTCAAAATCGTAGTCGGTTTCATTGCAGATGTTAACTTGCGCCGGTAGGAGAACTTTGGTAGAACTAGGATGGAATGTAAGTTCATATCCTTCCTCTTTATGATGTAGTGTTCTCTGAAAGCCTACAGGCCACATTCTGCTCGAATTTTTTTGAAGAAATGCACTTTAGACAAACTAGCGCACATAAAATGTGGTGTGTTGTGTGAACGTCCGCGAGTTCGCTTTGGGTATGTCAGGTATACAAGCGATGAGCGATTCTTACGTAATGAACCATCTACCAGGCACTCTAGTCGCAGCGAACGAAAATCGTAACAAGCTGATCTCTGGAGGTATGCCTTAGGCTTAAAGGGCAAAAAGTCACGCAGCGAGATGCTTCAGAAATGCCAAACATAACTTCTTATAATTTTTGTAGATTCAATGGGGGACTTCGTTTCAAAAACTCTCGTTTCCAGCTCGTGCAGTGCCTTGCCGTAATGTTTGATAGCAGATGTGGGAGCATTGTGAACGGATAGAGGTAATGAACCTGTTAAATCTCTATGTAAAAGCATAGCTCTCTCTCTCGCTATCAAGAACAGTTGTTTTGAGCTGCCAACCTCCGCTTTTATACAAATATGGGAGTCGATTATACAACTGAGTGCGAACTTTGCACGTGCCCATGACTGCGTATCAAATCAACCAAATTAAGAATATCCATGCCTTCGAAAATACAACGAGATCGGTACAGTAAAAGTAAGAATCTATGCCCAAAAACCAAGCCTGCGAAGCATACTTTGCTTCACGAAATTTAGCAAATTGAAATACAATTGTTTATGACAGGCAAGACTTTGCATCTTGAAGAACACTCTTTATTCACTACAAGTCTTCTCTTGGGCAAATATCATAGAATGAAGCGGGGCTGTCCGCTAGAACGGAACCGTCCTCACTTAGGGCAGTGAGGATAAGCAGCTTGAGAATATTAAAACCGTACATTTCTCAAAACACTATTAGAAATGTCAGCTGATCTTGTGAAGAATATACGATATCCCGGTACGTTCGAAGGGTAGCGCCTAACGATATCACATCGCATATGTAATTCTCTCTGAGCGAGAGCTCCGTACTAGTGGAGTTATTCAGAAAAGTGTGGTATCTTAAACGAGTACCGAAGTATCAAGTAAGTAGTAAGGTGAAGAGTCAAAAAAAAATTAGCGGGAACGGATCCTTGTGCTGACTAGACGCATTAAAACACGCTGCAGGTCTGAGATACTTTATGTACCTCGACGAGCAGCACACATTGCTCTTACTCAATCACAGCTGAGATGCGCTAGTGCGGTTGCGCGAGATGTCGAGACCGAGCACTTGGAAAGTCAAGGCCTGCGGCGCGTTTGGAAATTGAAACTCAGACTTCTCAGGGAAAGAAAGTGAATGTCAAGGGCTGGAGCTTACCATAGAACTCGCTTTTTGTCGTACACCTTCGATGCAATGTACCATTTGATTCAACTAACTTGGCTTCGGCAGGGCGGAGCTTCGTGACCTAATTAAAGCTAGCTTATGATCGGAGAGTACAGGTGCGATAGTGTGTGAATTTTCTCACCCCCTCTTCACCCCTGAGCCAAGACCAAGGTGACCTCCTTCACCAAAAGCCGAGAAGAATTAACAGTGAGGTAAGGTTAAGCAAAGGAGATATTTGTACGTGAATTGTTCATGTATAGGAAAGGAGGAGTTTGTTGAAAAAAAGTGCTTGGTGACGGGTGTGAGTAGTGATTTCTGGAGATTTTCCAATTTTTGACATAAAAAATTCATAACTTTTGTAGATGAACATCTTTCACGGCGAAATGGTCACCATTAGAACCGCTTCGTCCTCCGCTTTCAGAAAATGTACAGCATGTTTGAGATCCGTTCAAAAAGTGCCTGGTGAAGGATGTGCCTAGTGATTTCTGGGAATTTTCGAGTTTGTAGGATAAAAAAATCCGTGACTACTGCAGATGAATAGCTGGTGCAACGAAATAGTAACCATCGGAACCGTCTCGTCCTCCGCTTTTAAAAAATATATAGCATGTCTGATATCCATCCAAAAAATGATTTTTGAAGATATTCGAGTTTTTATCATAAAAAAATTCATAACTTTTGCAGATGACTATCTTGTACGCCAAGATAGTCATCATTGGAACCGTCTTGTCCTCCGCTTTCAGAAAATATATACTTTGCCTAAGGTCCCTTAAAAAAGTGCCGGGTGAAGGGTTGTGACTTTTATAATGGGAGTGCTCAAGTACCGGCTTTTTTACCATTGTAAAAAGGCGTCTACTTGAGCACTCCCATTATAAAAGTCTCACCCACCCCTCACCCCAGTGGCGTACCCAGGATTTCGGCTCGGGGGAGGCGCGGCAAAAATTTTTTTCAAATGAAGGTGCGTGGCGTCAGCCACGCACTCCGAAAAAATTTTAGGGGGCTTCTCAAAATTTTTGCGGGCCCTCAACCCCTAAAATTTGGAAGAAGGGGCGTGGCGTTAGCCACGCCCCCGAAAATAAACTTTTTATAAGGCTAATTTGAATTTTTAAAAAATTTAAAAATTATTTTAATTGTTTACAAAAATAAACAAGTCACTTGCACATTTTATAACTTATGTAAGTAACTTTCAAAAATTTCGCGGCCCGTCCTCGGGGGAGGGGTGCGCCAAGGTGCTGGTCAGAAATATAATTGTGTGCTAATCCAGCAGCGTATAGGTTTACATTTCAGAAAGAAGACAAACAGTGATAGTAAGGAATTGGAAATTATGAACTTTGACTAAGAAAGATGATGGCTACCTCCCCCTCCCTCCACCCTCCCCCTCCCTCCACCCCCCCCCCCCCCCCCACCCGTCGACATTTTATGATTTCTCTACCAAGTAAAACACCCTTCACCCTGAAGGAACTGCGACCACTGGGACCCCCTTCACCCTGGAGGAGTCATTCTCACCTTATCGCATCTGTGTCGGAGAGCACTCACGCGAGAGAGACGCAGGTGCGTCGCAAGCGCAAGCGGCTTCAATTACGTCACAAATCCCTGCCTTCCCGAAGCCAAGCCAGTTAAATTAAGTTATGAGTAAGGTAATGGATCACCAGTCTACACTTCATTGATTTGAATACCTCAAAGCTGTTGATCCTCAGGTCATCTTTTTATGCATACTTGAAAACAGCAAGTCATATCAGCCATGTTTCCTTTGGTTCAATCCAACGGTTTCAGTCCTTTCAGTTCAGTGCGCTTTCTGTATTGAAGAAGTGTCTTGTAGCAGGTTATCTGATCGGGGAAATTTCCACAGTGTACGTGTGGAGAAATCGATCAACCAAGAACACGTTTATACAGATATTATACGTATGCCTTGTCTCGCCAGGTTACAGCAATCAATGTATGGTGCATCTCCCAGAATTGTTCCATATGAACCATGACGTGGCTGTTTTTCGATCATTTTAACATGTCAACTTTGAATAAGCGCCTCAAATTTACTGGAGTTAACGTGTTAAAACGATCGAAAGGCAGCCACGTTGATGGTTCATATGGGAACAATTCTGGGGGATGCACGATACCAAAAGTTCTCATTTTCCGGAATAAATGTGATTTTTTTCCATTTTGGAAAGAGTCAACGTCAAAATGATCAATGAAGCGATAATAAATGCGTTGTACCACAGGGGACATCAATTTTTTTTACAAAAGCACAATATTTCTTTTACTTTTAGATCTAGAGCGACTTTAGCTTTAGATTCGCAAACAAATCAAGATATCATTCATTTACACTAGCGAACACAACACCCCAGTGGTAACGGAGTGAGATTCAAAATGAAGTGCATTATGTTTGGGTGTAAGCATAGCTAATTCGTTTAAGATTAGCGAAGTGTGAAACAGTCACAGAAAAAGAAGCTCAATACTCATGCTGCAAATTTTTAAACCATACTTGAAATTCACAATGATTATGAAAGAATGATAGTGGGTGCGCTTCGTCTAGGACCATAGTTGTATGTTGGTTTGTAATTTGGATTCGCAGTGTAGTCATATGCTGTAGCTGATGACGAAATCGTGCTGCATTTGGTCATTTTCTGAAATGAAGCAATTACTTTTGAAGTATCATGATATCAAAATTACCTACCATGTGGAACGATACAATTAGCTTTCGGAACTCTTTGTTGAATGTAATGACCACTATGCTAAAAACAACAGAGTAGCATGAAACACTCAGTATTTTCTTTCATGAACAGAAGGATACTTTGGTGGCATCAAATAAAATGTTAAACACTATCATATTTTTCTTCTTTTACCTTCTAACACAGTGAATTCACAATTTTTCTTATATCATACATAGATATCGGCTGCCGTTGCCACCGGGAACCATCCGTTTCATAAATCTTTTATAGAGTTTACATAAATCTGTTCTGCACTCAACGTTCACTGTATAGTAAACTGTAACTGTAAACTTTGGTTTTAAGACCACTCCTCTTCGTTAGGGTCAAAAGCAATGAGCAGGTGCTTTAAGGAAAAAAACGCGCTCCATTCGAACAACCCATGCAGCTAGCGCATCAAGTGCGAAACCACGAATTCTTTCCACAAGTGTTCATTTGCCGTCCTCGTGCTCGGCCCCGTATGGACACCTCACCCTTTGGTGGAAGCAAGCTCTACAAGATGACATTGAAGCGCATCCACCAGGTTTTCTACAACTCCAGTGTGGAGCCACAATTTAAAAAATTCTTGGTGGTAATGGAAATGGATAATAGCTAAATCTCCATTTGAAGAAATACTACGGACCTAACCTGCTCATGCATGTACTCTCATATCAACATTTATACCACAGTTGCTATCCTAAGTTCGAGAAAATGAGAAATAGCATATTTCTCTTAAAACAATATGGCTATTGTACATGAAATAACCTTTGAAAGTGTAAACATAAGCTTTTAGCCTTCAAAAACCATTAGTTTACCAGAAATAGCAGATTCACTCTTTTAAGGTTGTTTTTGATAAATTAAATAATCATGAAGAAGTGCTCGTAAAGTAAAGAATTGTGTTTATATTAGGTTGGTCCGAAAGTTCTGTCCCACCATTTTCGAAAAATCGTAACTTCTTCCTAACACAATGTTTTTGCAAGAGTAAAACAACATTGAAAACAGCAATTCGTGCATTTTCTAAAACTACCTTGGCTGCTATTCACTAAGCTCTGAATGCAGAGAAAAAATTGGACAAAGGAAATCACTTCAACTTCGGAATTTTTAAGCAAGCCCGTTAAAAAATCCAAAAGTGTGCCATAAAATCCAAAACAGACAGCATCCTAGGTTTTTTGATCCCCTCTTTCCAGCTGAGCAAGATTCGCGCTGATCGAGCCCTTTTGAAAGAAGTTATGATTTTCAAGAAAAAATGCCAAAAAATTAGTTTCTTAAGAAAATTGATTTTTTGACATTTTTGTTCAAAAAATCATAACTTTTCGGACAGCTAGATCAGCGCGAACTTTGCTCAGCCAGAAAGAGGGGGTGAAATAGTCTAGGATACTGGCTGTTTTGGATTTTTGGCACAGTTCTAAATTTTTTAACGAGCTTGCTTAAAAATTCCGAACTCGAAGTGATTTCCTTTTCTCAATTTTATCTCTGCTTTCAGAGCTTAATAGAGAGCAGCCAAGGTAGCTTTAGAAAGTGCATGAGTTGCTGTTTTCAATGCGGTTTTAATCTTGCAAAAACATTGTGTTGGGAAGAAGTCACGATTTTTTGAAAATGGTGGGACAGAACTTTCGGACCAACCTAATACCTCAAAAAAAAAATTAGTGCTATAGTTTATGTTTGGGTAGCACAATTGTGTTTTTTCAAAAGCAAAAAATTTTCTATTTTCCAGATTCAGCCAGGAAAAAATACACAGCTATGTGTATGAATGTCTGATGTGAAGAGTACGTAAATGAGCATACTGAAAAACAAACGGATTTTTTAACACTTTTATTCTCTTATTTTTCGAGTCTGTGTTAGACTAGACCGCGCGGCCTATCGGCATACACTGTTTACGCTCCATATTCTTGTGCATGTGAGCGTACTCTGCGTATGTCATGTACGTACGCCGCGAAGTCTGATCGAATCCTATATTGGCACTGAAAAATAATGTTAGCTTCAATCTTAATGTGTAGCAAACTTAACGCAAATGCTTAAATGCCTTATTATAGAGCTTACTTTGCTCTATACATAAGACTATGCCAATTTCTTTTTTTTCAGGTCTGTCCGAAGGCTCGTGCCCTTTTGAGGCTTATCCTAAATCGTTCACAGTAAAGATAGACAAATGCTCTAAACAGTGGTCGACGCAAAATTTTTTCCTTTTTCTATCGGCGCTGCTTTTGTTCTGATCCCCTTCGTGTTTAGTAATCGACAGGATCTCCGACCCACTACTTTCATACCCTCACTTGAGTCATTTTGCAAAAAAATTACTTTTAGAAGGGCTATGATCACTGTTAGACATAAATAACAAAATGCAAGATGGTGTGTTTTTTTGGCATTCGTAGCTGAATTTTAAGTTTTTTTGAATTTCTTTGATGCTACCAAGTTTTTTTTGGCCATTCTAAACCTCATAGTCAGGCAGCAAACGACTAAGGAGTCAGTTGATGTAAAACGTTTTTTTTTCTAAAACGTTTTCCCTTAATTCGTGAGTGTTTCGAAGATAAAGTCATTGTAATTTTAGTGTTTAGACGCAGCGTGCTTTGCAAATTTTGAAAATCGATATTCCTAAGCGGTAAACATTCGTTTTGTTAAATTAGCGTTCATTCATGAAATCTTTGAAGCTTTGTACTCCAAAGGTTTATTGGTGTTCAAAGGGTTTGTATGCCAGGGCTTCGCAAAAAATGAAGACTGAAAAATTTTTTGTCAAGGATATTATGCTGTTCGGGAATTAGTGCAGGTTCCTTACTCGATTGCGGTAATGTACTTATATAAATGTGGGTAAGATATCTTTTGATAAAGCAAAGCAATCTCTACAAGGCAGCAGCAAAAGGACTGCAAAAAGTTTGATATATGGTGGGGTTTGATTACAATAACATTCAAGCACCCGAGAAACACATTTTTGTGCAAAAACATCCTGCGCAGTTCCAACCCTGATACATATATTTGTCCACATCAAACAATCATATATACAGTTGCGATATGTTCATGGTTAGAAACTGAGAAAATGAAAGTTCGCATGCCCTAGCAAGTACATGTAAGCCACTCTGACGTAGGTAGTTTTATACTACAAACCTGTAGAAGTATAACCACATATCTTCAACTTCCTCCAAGAGTTATTTCCCGAAAAATAATGAATCAGCACAAAAGACCCACAAAAGGCGCAATATTGGTCCATTTTAAATTTTCTATCTTTAGCCATTGTGAAATGTGGAAAGTAGGCTTATAAATCTTTGATGTAAGGGACATATGCGTGACCAAGTTGGAGTTCCGCGAAAATTTTTTAAGCAACAAAATAATACTAATGTATTTGAATTTTCTTGAATATTGCTTTCAGATTACACATCAAATGATTGACAATCATCACGATTTTTCTAACGTCTTGTAGGGCTTCCTATGCGCTATCGAAGACATGTTTCCCTCATCTTTACAATGCGTCTAAAGAAGCCCTTACCGCGTAGTGCATTCATACCGTATCGCAGTGTGGGAACCATGCGCGCACAAGTTCGCCGGCCTTGTCTTTATAGTTTTCTTTGCAATCAGGAAAGTAGTTATCACACTCTTACACATTTTTCTCTTCATCCAGGTTTTCGGGTGGCTGAACTGTCCGGACTGACGTCATCATTCATTATTTCGATTCGTTTTTCAATCTACATAATCGTAGATCGTTTGGTTTTGAATAAACAGCGCTAACGCGCTGTTCACTTAAAGGCATCGGCTTGGACAGAATGACAACTTTGGGATATTCATCGTTCTCGGTTTCCCTGAATGAGCCAACAAGGGAACGATACTTGATGTCTTTGCTTTTGAGATGAAACGTATACCACAACACTCGCCGTGGAACGCTGATTTCGAATCTGACTTCCGTTTCTGCTAATCTTTTCTCTAAAAGGAGTTGAGAAAGATTTTCGTGTCAATGGTCGCCTACGAGGAATACGGTCGAGGATACCTAACTTTCAACAAGAAGCTTGATTGTGGCAATCCAAAACTGTAAACATAAAAAACTCGAACTTAAACTTGCATTAACTTGTGAGGCTATCGCATCAGCCGCTACATCACATCGCAACGGCGGTTTTGGCATTTTAATCTTACTTCCCTTAGCGCAAAAATCCTTTATAACCTTTCTCAGAGAAACGATTAGCAAAAAAGGAAGATTCGGAATCAACGCTCCAAGACAAGTGTAATGTTTTACATCCATCTCAACAGGGCACGGACTCCAAATATCGTTCCTTTATAAGTCCAAAACTTTGCTTTGCGGCTTTAAAATACATCAATAACCCACTTTCTTTTCCGGACGTAAAGTGCTGTTTGGGCGAGTCACGAAAGTGGCTGCTTGACGCCGAGATGGGTGCACTGTCGTCATTCACGAGCTCACGCTTTAGAGGGCAAGTATACGCCGTCTGCCCGAATAGCACTTTTGACGTCCGGAAAAAGGGGTCACTGATATCTTTTTAAGCTGCAAAGCACAGTCTTAGATTTAGCTTATCGGAAACGAGAACGATAAATATCTCGAAGTTGTCATTCTGTCGTGCTACCCTTGAATTGTTCTTTCAGCCTATACGATATACGATTACACTTTTACTCACTTCAGCTTCGGTAAGGAGGAAGATCACTAGTCGTTTTCAAAGTTCAAAATGAAACGTTATAGATTACCTTTTTTTGAAAGACCTCGAACCTCCATTTTGTATTCCATTCGCGCGATGTTTGTGAAAAAATCTTAGGTAGTGAAGTAGAGTTTCACTAAAGAATCTCGGAATTCTGGAAGCAGGACAAAGAATGCGTGTAAGAAAAAAGCAGGAAGAGTGGCTAAACAAGAAGTACGCCGTTTTGTGCGGCATGGTCCCTGCGCGTTGCAACATATGGTTGCCGCGCGTAGGTATATGGCTGCACTACGCGGCCCGCCCTGGCCCCGTTAGACGCATTGTTACAGGGGCCCGTAGTAAACCCCCGAAATATGTCGTGATGTAAAGAAACCGAGGACACGACGTATCCGACTAAGAGACGTGCTACTCACGACCACGTTTTGGTCGCCGCAAAACTCGGGCGCGCAAGCGCGTCGAACCCTTCGATGATCGTTTATGCCGGCGAGCACTGCCACTGTGCTACAAATACATGCCTCAAGAAATATAAACTGAAGCAAACGAAACAAGATGCCGCAGAGAGAACATTCGCTTGCGACATCTCCCGAATAAATCGATAAGCAAGCTTCGATTTGATTCAAGTTTCTTTGTAGGTTGCCCCATATTCACAATTGAGGCGCATAAAGGGAATTGTCAACACCTGATGGGGTTGCCAACATGCAGCGGGGATAGCGCAGCGCCAGTGTCGGATGTTGCTGTGATTAGTGAAGATAATCGAGAGGGAATACGATACCTGCGTGAGCCAAAATCTTGCATCGAATTTTTGTGTATTTAAACAGGATTAGTAAGTTCGGCAGTAAAAGAAAAATGACCACATGAAACACAAAATATTACGAATGCACAAAAAATTGATTTATCGCAAAAAACCATTTTCTGGGTTAGCGCAAGTATGAGATATTCTATTAGCCATGGCGTCACACGGTTCCCTTTCTCAAAAATCAAGGGAAACGTTAGGTGCACAGCTAATGAACAGCAAATCACCGGAACTATGTAATAAAAACTCTTAACGCGAGAAAGACGGAAGAATTTCAGCTGGTAGAAAAAATCGGCGCTGAAATGGGTTGCAGTGTGGGACTAAAGAGAACAATTAGCCCAAGCTAAACAGAATACGACTAAATACGATTCTAATATAACTTGTGATCGAAATAAACTCACCTTTTTTAATTACAAAACGTAGTAGTGCAGAATTTTCAGAAAAATAAGGAGATCCGCTCGCCGTTGGAATTTGGGCGCTTATCAGCTGTTGATATCGATTGCAGTTGGCGTACGTTGAACCTAGTGCTGTGTATCTACGGTCCTTGCACAAGGTCACGAGCTCGGCGTACTCGACCCCTAGTCAGTTGCGCCTTCCTGCGTCTCCACGCTGGGGCCACTATTTTTATTTCTCTGCCTCTTAAGTGACGACGCTCACGACGTGCTCGTCCTCGCGCGCAGAGGACGATGTCCTGCAGTCACGACGTCCCGCGATTTCGCCGCGCGGCTGTAATAAGAGATAGGCGCGCGACGAAACGCGGCAGAAATGACACGTGCTGGGTACGTGCGATGTTGTGAACGTTGCGACTCTCACGACGGGGGATTACTACGGCAGGGTGTCCCAAGAAAATGTTAACACTGATTGATCGCTAACAACTCCCTAGCTTTCATGACTTTCACCAAGCTTGAGGCACCATTCTGTAGAGCGAGGATCAACTTAGACTTATAGTATGGAGCGAATCACCATTCGTTCTTTTACTGTAAGATTACGGCAAGAACTTCCAGCATGTGGAACGAATGAAATAGGCCATCTGACGAATTTTTTTTTCGAAAAATCTGAAAAATCGTGTACTAGAGTTCTCGCGCGTACTAGTTCCACTACAAAACTTTCTACGATTTTCCAGCTTTTATTTGACGGTGTAATCACATTTTTGACACATGCTGGGAAGTCAGTGACTACAGTCTACCTAGGATAACTTTGAAAAGAAGCATCATAGTAAAGCGAAAATGTAATAATCGAAATCAGCGGTTTCCATCACCATAGTGCAAGAGATTTTGGCATTTTTGGCTCTTTCGAGGCAGAAAATGGCCTTTTATGGCCTAAACTCCTTGTCGAAAATTCTACCGTAATCCTACAGTAAAAGAGCGAACGGTGATTTACTCCGTACTATAAATCTAGGTTGTACTTCGCTTTACAAAATGGTGCCTCAAGCTCGGCGAAAGACATGAAAGCAAGATAAATATTAACGATCAAACAGTGACATTTTTTGGGACACCCTGTATATCGACACTGCCGCGATAGCGTACAGAACCGGCATTCATTTTCGGACAACGTAACATTTGCAAGTCAGTCGAAGAGGCTCAAAAATTCATTACTTTGCATTTTCCATTTATCCAACAGTAATTAATGCTTTTCCAAAAGTTGAAGATGTCTTTTAAAAATAGCTAAATTAAGAATAGATGATTATCATGAATTAAAATGACGATTATTCGAGCGACCTCCAAAGATCTCGGAACAAAAACATTACTGCTACAAAGAGAAAGAAGTTCTGCATTAAACAGCTTTGGAGCAATTGCCCAATTAGAGCATTTGATTGATTCTAAACTCGACGACAGGCCTGAAAAACGGCATGAATTTTCAACCTGACCTGATATAATGTAAGAAGAACATGACTTAATACGGTTAAATGTCAAAAACGAGAAAAATGTGATATAAGCTGATGCAAATCGTCATAATTCTACAAAGCCAGATAACTTGACAAATCATCCATGTAACCTACAACAACTGTACCTCTTCCGTCAAGTTGTTGCTCCATTAAACTTCTACAGTTCTCTGAAAGTTTGCAGACTTTTGGATCGCTGATAAAACTCATTTTAGTGCTAAGATTGCTCGACGCAGTTTAGTGAGAGTTTCAATATGTACATGATAACATTAACTAAACACAAAATCTTGTAACCGAACATGTCCTATCAGAAGCTGCAACCGACGCAAAATCTCCACTTCTCAAAAGCACGGTCCAATCTGAGTTGAGAGTCTTAAGCTTTTGGCAGCGTATGACAATAGGGCCCCCTATCGAGCCAATGCCCAAGTCGCGGCGCAAAATGTCACTACGGAAGCGAAAAAATCGCTCCCCTGAAAAAGGAAGATGCACGAGAATCCTCGGACAGCAGCGCCGCCTTTCTTATCCATGCCCGCCCATCCCTGCGTGCCTATCCACTCACCGTTCTGGAAAGCCGGCCTGTGGGTTTTCCGGAACAGGGATTGTGAGTTCCTCAGGATTCTCGACTTCATATTCTGAACCAGGGACATGAGAAGGCCCTGAAACGACCAAACCCTGGAAGTCGAGAATCTGGGTAGACGTTGCCTTTGATCGCTCTCGGAATTTTTTTCCGTTTGTTTGAAGATCTATTCGTATCTGTACCATTTTTGACTGGTAAAAAATAAAGGAAATAAAGTGCTGTCATCCTGTACATTCATCGGTAAACTTCTGATGGAGGATCGCAGATGTTTCAACCAATGATATATGAGTACCTCTGCTTCTTTTCAGTGGTTGCATTGAGCTCCTGCTAGTAGACGATGAATTGTTATGTTACCCTCATCTTTAATCAAGTCATTTCTCTATTTGACATGATCCGTAATTCATTTTGTCTTTTACAAATTCTGGTTTCATTACATTGAATTGTAGCGATAATCGTAGTTATTAGTACATTCTCGCGGTTCGTCATAAAACGAAATGAGGTTAATGTTTAATTAAACGTACAAAAAGGAGAGTGCAAAAGTATACTACATAGGTGGCAAAAGTAGTTGCTGTCGCAATTTTTTCGTAGTAAGGACGGAGGTAGAAAAAATAAGAAAAGCTGGAACATCTGTATGGCATTACTCTATTGCTCATAGTTGGCTGACAGAAACAAATCAAAACCGTGGATAGAATAAAAGGTAAAATGGTTGACTTGGTCAGACTCAGAAGTTTCTCGCGCCAAAAATGCTATCTTGTAGAGCTTGCTTTGCTTTATTAAATGGTATCGTCGTCTCCCCGGTGTACGTTGGGCGGAGCTTTTGCGGACATTTGGACACGTTGGTAAACTTGTTAACCCTCTACTGCAAAGCACTGTTCTTCGTAATTTCTCGCTACCAACTCCGCAACATATGACAACAGCATATATGCGTGGCAGTTTAGAGAGTACAAAGAACCATGCTTTGCAGTAGAGGCTTGACAGGTTCACCAACGTGTTCAAATGTCCCCAAATGCTCCGCCCAACGTACACCGGGGAGACGACGAATACCCTAAAACCTATCTAGAGTCAAGAAGTTTATGAATTAGCGGTTGATAAAACGGACGGAATTTATGGAACTATTTAGATATCCGCTTGAGCAGGCACATTACTTATAAGTGGGGTGTTAAGACAGCAAAACTTACGGATCACATAAATGTAAAATATTCCAAGCAACTGTTGAAAAAGCCCAGACTGCCCATCTGTTCTCGAATCTTGACGCCAAGCAGAAATAGGAGAAGAGCTCGGTTACAAAAAGAAGCCCCCTTGCGATTGCCTATAAAAATTATTATTCGTGTTTTTGCGTCTGCTTCAAAATGAAACTCTCTTGCTTGTACCTGTTTTAAAAGATTAATTTCGTTTAAACTCGTTCCCGTACGAGATGCTCCTTGTGTTTGCTAAAAATCAATAACTGAGGCAACGCATCTTGATGTTCTTGATTTACCGCTTTAACTCTGCTTCTCACGATCACGACTGTTATAAAATCAACCACTGTTATTATAGATACAACAATTAAACTTTTGAGTGCGTCAAGATACCACGAAATGACGTCGCAAGTCTGAATCACAGTGCAGTCTCAAAGATTCTTAAGTAACGAAATGCAAACCTTGTTTTCGAGGAACACTAATGCGAAGATATCGTCGCGGTAAATGAACTTACAATCTACTAAAAAATCAATGTTACTCTTGCGTAATCGAAAAATCTCTCGTTTTGAGATGTGGCAGAGAAGAAGAGCAACTGCGACTTGTTACATTTCGCAGATGACATAGAAGTAGCAAGGGAAAACGAAAGTGCTACATGACAATGTCTGCCATCGTTTGGGTAGGAACGAAAACGGTGAAAGTAGCTCATTATCACAAAATGAAAATCGATTTTAGAATAACATACGATATCCAAATAGATAAAGTGGTGGAAATATTGATGCCGCCCATATGAAAGCGATCAGTATCAATGTATTGTTCCGGCTAAAGACTCTGCAGTGTGCGCTGAAACGTAACATCGATACCCTACCTGTATATTATCTTATATTTAAGAGGTAAGCAAATAGCACACAATCTATTGAGAGCAACAAAAACGTGAGAAAACGTGCTGACGTCGTATAAGATGAGCAGGACGATGCCGGCGGCATCAGAGTGTTCTTTCATAAAAGCAACGCTGCTGAAAAACTTGAGTTGTAGTAGAATTTGACAAGTGGTATAATGTTGAATGAATTTAAGCACCTGTCAAGTGATGTAACCAACGTTCGGGAAACTTACAAAAAACACAAAGCTAAAGATTGCGTAATCTTTTTCCCATTCTCAACAGGATAGTCTTTTACAGGACCCTGAAGGAAGCATGCGCCACGTACCCTAGTCTGAAAAAAAAATTTTTTGCCCCCTCCCCCCGGACGGAAATCTTGAAACTTAGCATTACTGATAATAAAGCAAGTAAAAAGTCTTCTTTTTGGAGCTGCTGCAGCGAATTGATAGTGAACTATTTATTGCAACATAGCTTATCTTTCAAAGCACTATCCGATGGATACAAAAAAGATCCAGCGCATATTTAAGTCTTGAACGAAAAAAAGCGTAACTTTGCTACTCACTTTTTCCCATAAACTCAACATGACATTCTGTTTTGAATAACTCTCAAAGCATCACTTAAATAATGAGGGCATCGCACAATGTGGAATCTTGCCTCACGGGCAAGATTCCACATTGTGCGATGCCCTCATTTATCCCAAATGTGAAATGCACAAGCGAGTACGAGCGGCAGGCCCAAGTCTCAGAGTAGTTCTAGGTTTTTGGCCTTCGAATATGCTGAATTCCTGACTAACAAGAAAAAAAGGCTGGCGGAGGGCCTTTTGATATAAGATGGATACTGTTTTGAAATGTGCAACGCCAATTCCAAATCTATCGATTCGTTGAGCGCAGGGACTGCTCAAACGCTGCTACCCACGCGCGGCGCGGCTGATTTATCGCGAGAGCACTACTTGTACTATGGCGGATTTGTACTGGTGCAAGCGTTTTACCTCGCGGCGCGTGCATTGATGTTCAGTCCGTGCGGTTAACGAATAAACTATACCTTCCTCTGGATTCCCAAGCGAGGAGTTACGAAGGCTTTAATTAGCAATTTGCATGCGCAGATAAGACGAAATTAGTCGTAACATATTTTCTACGGCCCGAATGATTTTCGGGTTACCCTGTGCAATGAATAATCTTGATTTAAACGTATCCACCTAATTCTACACCGTCGCAATGCTAGGAAAAGTCAACGATCAATTTTACACTGATCGTGCACTGATTTTTACCCCATAAAAACCTTCAAAACTCCTTGCTCCGAATCCCGCACCAGATGAAAAGGGTATATTTGGAATCAGCGTTTTGTACTTTTCAAGTCAGTATAGATCTTATACAGAAAGCCATTTCGACTAGCCTTCCTTCCCTTGTGAGAACAGACCCGCCGTTGATAAGTGAAACACGCTAACGGCTGATTCCATATTTTTGTCTTGTTCTTCCACATTTGTAGACGACCACCTTGTGTAGGGTACGGCCTGTTGAGTCTCCCTTCGCAAAAAATCAATTACTCTTTAGCAACATTAAAAAATTTTCGTACTCTGATGTTGTGCACTGTAAACGCCAAGAACGTTATCTGATAAGTTACTCTACACCTCGACTCTTCAAAGCCTTCAACTCTCATTGATTTTTTAACACAAATGATGGATCCCATCATGCATCTATCTTTGCTTCATTCTGGCTTCGTTTCCTGCAGAGCGATGACGTGATACTAGCGCCCTCTTAAGTCGAGAAAAGTATGCAAATTATATCAGGTACCTTTGCTGGCATTTTGAGTGCAGAAAATCAGACCGCATAATTTTTTTCAGTGTTGCTAATAGAGTAACTGAGTTTTTTCCAGTGAGAAGAGATTTAGTAGACTGTGCCCTGCGAAGGGTCAACACAAAAATGTGACTTAACCGCCAGCGAATTTTACCTATCAGCGGCAAGGAAATCAGGAATTTATGAATATCAGGAATTCAACGTAAAAAGAAAGAGAAAATCTTCAAAACTTGGGCCCGTTAGCGTGTTGTATTCAGTCGAGTAGGCCAGCCTTCCTTAAGACGGTTTTCAATGGTTTTGGATCGCATAAACCCAAGTTATCAACTTGATTCTGCCTTCCACTGCTGGTCCTGGTCCCTCTAACAAACAGCTAACAAGGGAATGGTCAGAAGTCGAAGTGGCCAAATCAGAGAAGCTGTATATCATTGGATGCAGTATAAAACGCTGACTTCGAATCTGTCTTCCTTATCTGCTTACCGCTTCTATGGACGAAGTTACAAGCGGTTTTATTGTGAAAAAATCATACATAAAAACAGCGAAATTGAGCACATTGCTGCACGTATAGCTCAGCTTCTGGCTTTAAAAAATCTAAGTAAGCTAGCTGCATGTTTTGGCCCAGCATTGAGGCGAACGTGGCTTTGTACGTCTAAATCTTCAATTTCACGCCTAATTTCCTAGCAAAATAGTAGTCTTTGATGGCTTATAGTTTCGTCCAATAAAGCGATAAGCAGGTAAGGTAGGCAGATTTAGAGTCAGCGCTTCATGCTGCATCTAACGGTACGCAGCTTGTCTGGAATGGCCACTTCGATTTTTGACCATTCCCTTGTAAGCAACGCTGTGTCTCTCAGCTTAATTACATTTACGTTGGTCATTGAAAACCCTTTCTGCAGAGCAATTGCTGGGAATTACATACTTGCTCAATTTTCTGCAATAATTTAGTATTACAGCAAACTGTACTTACAACGTTACCATTGGAGAATAGTAGAAGGCAAAGGTAGCACAGAGCATAGCCTCTCCAGTTGCTTGGCTTGTCGTCAAAAGTCCGAAAGAATTTTTCAGAGAAGTTAGCCTTCTAGCGAAAACCGCCACGATACAATTACAGATCACACCTGCGAATGAAATCTAAAAAATCTGCAATCAAAAATATTCCTCGGGTATTTTGCAAATTTTTACCACAAAGATAACTAAGCCAGCCAGCCACTCTCCGACCATATCAGCTTGATTCACGCAATTTTGGCGTACCATATGTCGTTAAGCGAGGAACAAGTTTGCTTGTTGCTCGAGCTCGCTTCTGTGGCCTCAATTTTCAACCGAAAAGATTAAACGAGTGCACCTGATTTGAAGCGTTCATAAAACTTTCGTAACGGAATAACCTCAACATCACGAACTTTGACTGCATACATATTTGATCTTCTAGATTACTGCTAACAAACTTTCGGTAGGGTATGAATTAACATTATATGGTTAAATTTGAAGTGCAATTACTTATGTAGCAGAAGTACCTATTAAGCTGACTTTTCTATGAAAAGTTTCTCGTAACTAAAACTGAGACAGTCCAACATAAAGAGAGTTTTAGAACCCCGGGTGCACATCAGAAGTGCACATCTGAAGAAAAATCGTGAGAAACGTTAGAATGTAAAGTTTACATCCTAACGATCGTTCAAGATTAACTTACATTTTATTCCAAGATTTATGGGGCATTCGCTTACTGCACTTTCAATATCAGCTGAATTCATATTACTAAAGAAACTGCATGCCTTACAAGGGAAGGACCCAAATTCGAAAGTGCTTTTTACATGAAATTAATACCAGTTTGACGAGCATTCAACGCTCAGAACTTTCTTCGTTATCTGCCATAAGCTTCGACTTTGAGTTGTGAGAGTACGAAAATTGAAACACAGTTGGACCAAATTCGTCAAGGCTGCTCAAACGTCCAGCTTCAAATATCCAAGCATGCTATGCATGAAATATCATTTGCGTAGTATATTCGTCCTCAACATTGCTTTACTTGAGCGTTGAAAAGACCGTATAACTAATTTTACCTAGGATTTAACCAAAATTTTGCGTTCTTTCTTTGACTTGGCTAGAGCTTGGCAGATAATGAAGGCAAATTTGCATCAACGTACAATGACTCTTCAGGGTGCTGACTTTATGAAAAGCCAGTTTTAACTTCGAGTCCTTCTCTTTGTACAGTTTTATAACAGGTCACTCCGAAAGTAATAATTACACTTTTTTTCAGAGGGGCGCCACATTTATTGGAATAAAAATATCGAGCACTTAAAAGCATTTATACAGCGTTTCTCCCCTTTCTAACGGTATGAAATCGTTGCAGCATACTCAATGAGCATTCAGAAAAAACCAAAATCTGCGACCCAGGCTTTTTGAAATGGTCAAGTTTCACGATTTTTTAAAAATTTTCATATCAATCCTCAGAAGGGGTTCAAGGAAAGATTCGATAGAGTAAACCTTATAGAATACAGTACTACTTTTTTCTCTTCCTCGTAGCTCGCCGTAATATTTTTTTAGATTTTTTTGACGCGCACTCTTTTACTTCACAAGTGGGTTTGAATAAATGCATGCTTTGATTCTTTTTTTTCTGGATGCCATAAACTATAGTTGATAGATATATCTTGTGGATTTTGCTTCTTGAAATAGTGTTTCCGTATCAAGTCAGAATATCTTTTCAACGTCAATGAAGCTTGATTTCGCGAATTTTTCGCACAGATTATCAATGTATCGGTGCTTCACTTAGCTTGTTGTAGTTATGGAGCAAAAACGCTATCGGCGGATATATGCAGACAAGTCAGATTGATTTTTGAGGAAGTAGAATCTTTTCTAATTTATCTGTAGTTGTGACCAACAAAAGCTGTATCTTTCAGAAATGCTGAGGCCTGCTAGGAGCTTTGAGATTAGATTCGATTTTTTTAAGCACGAGCAAGATTTCTTGATGTCACTAAAGAAGTACACAGCCCGATTTACCTAAACACGGAAGGATCCGCCATGATAGCCGCGGCCGGTCAGGCTTCGTGCGCTCTCATGGTCTGAAACCTCAATGCATACGTTCTTTTCTTACAATTCTATCTTGGGCTTCATTTCTTACTCGCTCAATCATGAGAGATATCACATTGAAAAGATGTTGATCAATAAATTGTGAGAAGATACTATTGCATACAAGGAAGCAATCTAAGTCA